CCCAACAAACCCCTACCTCCGCGCGGGTTCCCTGTTCCTCCCGTAACTTCGATAACGGAAAAATTAAAGAAACGAATAACAATGTTAACAAGTGCATAGGACAACAAAAGGTGATCGAAGTCCAACGTTCCACATCCAGGGAAATAAATAAAAATTAACGGAACACATTTCTTCTGTTGAGGTGAATACTTCTTCCGAAGCGGGAAACTCTTCCGAGAAGAAAATCAGCATCATCATTACATGCGGTCTCGTCGTCTGGAAATGACCGTTTCAATTCTTTATCACTACTTTGGGCTTCCTCTTCATCTTGTTGCCCGCTGTCTTTTTGCTGCTCCTCGTAGTCAGAGCGTTCGAGGCTGACCGGTCCACTCGGCTGAATTTCTCTCTGATAGAGGTAAATTGGTCGGTCACTAAGCAATCAAAGGTCACTGACGCAGGCGCAGATAGGACAGTCATAACAAACCTTTGTGCGGCTTTTTTAGCCTCCTACGCTTGCGTTTTTACGGGATCGCATATGTGACTTTCGCGTTTTGGGGAGACGTGAAACGCGATCTCGTAAAAGACGTACGGCGGTATGGAAGGCTGGACTTTTTGGACTTTCACGAAGATAAACTTCTCTATAGTTTCCCGTCAACGGACTTCCCGCTTCTCGGTTCGTATACGCATTAGTTTTTTTTAGTGAGCACGGTAACGAATCCTGCAATCTGATTGGTTCTTTACTTGGTCAGTATTTTCCTATCTCTGCCCACGGGCCACGGTAGCGCTTTTGTGAATCGCCGAGTACATCCCAACTTTCGTTGCCATTTTTCATAAATATATCTCGTTTTTCCGGCTGGGCAGTATTTTTAATCAAACACGTCGGTTACTACCTCAAGTCGATAAATAACTTATGAATCCTCTCTTTTCTCTCTCTCTCAAATCACTTTGGTTGACAAAAAAATATTGGTTTCAGAATGAATTTGTATAAGTGTCATCACGTTAGTTGACAAGCGGCCTAAAAACCGTATGCAATTAATTTTAATCGTTCACAGAAAGTACCTAGAAAGTTCAAACGTGAGGTGTTTGGTTACAGTTAAGCTGAACGATGGAACTTTCATTCATTTAATATCTGAATTTTCTCAAACAATTTGTTTGTAGTGAAAGAGCGAGCGAAGTTTTAAATTCAGTTCTACAACAAATATACTCTCTCAGTGAGTCTTTCCGAGTCCGTTCAATTTGGACATTTGTACCGTAAATTGCACAACAGCAAGCAATTTATTGAGAAAAGGCCGCATTGAATCCCCTTGTGTCTCGTTGGAGTGTGCCATTCGAATTTAGTTTTTGTGGAGGAAAGACCAGATTTACACACGCTATTGCAGCAAACAAACAAGCAAACTCTCACAACTTCAAAACAAAAAATTTGAATTTACTCACAATTACTTTTCCTCGCCGTTTACTTAATGAACAGAGGTAAATCTTCGTACATAAATGAATCGTCGAAGAGAGTGAATAATACTTTCCGTGAGATCATTGACTGTTTTTGAAGAAAACATTGTCATGACAGTCCTTGCCAAACTAGTTCCGTTGTTTTTCAAGTGTTCTTGCGCTTTATTTTTTCTTACGCACTCTCTAACTGACAGGTGTCAGATTGTGACAGATACTTGTAAAAATAATGTTTCAAAGTTTGTGTGGAAGCCTTTTAAATCACCTTTATCCTTGCACAAATGAAAATGTTTCGGTGAGGCATCTCTCTTTAATTTGCATCACCTCTATTTTAACTACCATGTACTGGCTCAAAAATTGTTCAGTTTATGGAAGATCTTGCCGTATTTACAGCCCTAAATCATTCGGGTTCTTTCGGAAAGAATTTCGTCAATTTAAAAAAAAAAAAAAATGTTATTTACCGGCTAAGGGTCGGTCCGTATGGTGAAAAACTGTGACCTCGGTCTTGAAAAGAAGACCTCGATCACAGTTTTTCACCATACGGAAGGCAAATAACATAAACTTATTTCAGGAATCCCACTCCTCAAAATCGCCGATTCCCGTGCCCCTTTAATAATAACAATCCCGCATCTCGCTCCTTTCTTACTCTAAATTCCCAGAACCTGGTCATCAAATAAGCCCAATCCTGCATGCCGAAAACCTGTTTGGGACCCTCTTTATTGGCAGGCTTTGTTAGTGAGACACACAAACTTCACCTACTTTGGATTGAACTGAGTGGTCACTCTTTTACTAGGTTAGGTTACTAACCTAACCTAGCGATTATAACCTCTTGGTTACTAATTAATTTTTTATGAGACTAGCGATATCCCCTCCCCTGCCACTTGCAGATTATTTTAAATGATCGCGATTGCTGCTTTAGCGTCAGTTCTAAACTCTTTATGGTGGCCAATTTACGTTATCAACTCAGTTGAAAATACTAAAATTACCCTGTTCCTCTGCTTTCGCTCATCACAACAGTAATGATCTTTTCTGGCTGAATGAGTTACAAGTTCTATTTTGATCTCTTTCCCGTTTGCTGTTGTCCTTCCTTTGACAAAAATCTTTGCCATACTACCATACTATGCTAACATACCACTGATGTAGAACTGCCATGGAAAGTTCTTTCGGATATGTTAGAAGACCCTAGAACTCATGCATAGACGTAGCACAGATAGGCATAAGGTTTCCGTATAGGATTATGAAGAGAAATGAGTGATTTGGTACACTTACAAGATGTGGCTGTGATTGCACCGTTATGATTTGGTAACTGGTACGTGGTAGGCACATAATTCGACAACAGGGAAATTATTAGTATTACTGGATTAGTTAAGTCTTCGAATTCCTGAAACTGCAACTCCAGGGACATGTTTATCCTAGCGATTCCTGTTGCAATTTAAACTCACAACTTTGACATAAATCTTGAGATTGCAAACTTAATAGGTGAATTGAAGTGCCTGGAAAAAAACGAGCAATCTGTTGTTTGCTTTAATGCGCAGGCGCCTTGCCGGAAGGGTGTTTTTCATGAACACAGATATTCATCGACTGTGCGATTGCGAGGACAGAATTTTTTCCTCTAATTATATTTAAGAATGCTTTTTTTCTTAATAATTTTTTCCACCCCTTTTTTTTTTCAAATTTTAAACAGCGCAAAAAAGGATTGAACTGACTAAATTATTCAAAAACAGAAAAGTGAGAAAGATAAGCTGCAGAGTTTGATTATGAGATAGCTAACATTTCTTTCTCGTCAGTGGTTCTTGACAACCAGTTTTTATGCGCAGAACACATTAAGAAGTGTTATCACCTTAAATCACCTTGTCTTTGAAGTTCCCGTTGCGGTTTATTCGCTTTTTTGGACTTCAATTCTGTAAAAGGTTGTCGTTGTTGTCTTGCAGAGGACGTATAAGAAATGTCCAATTTTAAAATGCACGTGCTAGCTATTGTTCTGTCCATTAAATCTTTTGTTTTTTCTACGTTCTATTTGCCATCCAAGTGTTTTGCCCGAGTTCCCTGATACCTCTCATTCCAACTCCGACTTTGGTAATCCAACCCTTGGGGTAATGTAAGGAATTTTTTTTTCTGGTCGGTAAAAAAGCAGACTCCAACGTCTCGAATTACCCTGGCGCTATCACTTGCTTTAAAGATGCCAGACCTGCCATTTTCCATAACTCTGGTTATAGGTTAACTCCCTTTACAAAAGGCCGTTCATGTTATACTCGAGATCCAAACTAACGGCACAGGTGCACATGCGCACGTGAACATGAGCAAGGGATTTGATCGCCCGTGTGCCTCAACGACCCCATCAGCTCAGTCTAACAAAAATCTAGACACATTTTTATCATTTTGTATCAATTTATTTCTTAAATTCTTGTCTAAGACTAACACTACCGCGGTTTCTCTTCAAAATCCCCAATTTAGTAGTTAAAAGGATTTTCCCCTTTTCCCTGATTCAATAAATAAACAATTACCTTTTAGTTGTACATTATATCCTTTTTCTCCAAAAGTATCTTAATTTAGTCTTGCCCAACTATCAGGGCTCTCTATTTGTTATACAAAACTTAATGCTACAAATATATGGTATCGATGCATTTTCAATATTAAACTAATGTCTAATGCATTAATATAAGTATTTTTTGTTACCTTATGTTATGTTTGTTATAATGAAGGAATGTCTGGTACCACTCTCCATATTTTTTAAAAGTAATATCAATTTTTTTCCCTAAAAAAAGTAGCGCTGGGAGCAGTTCTTAACGTACGCTTCTCAACAAGTCATCTAAGTCAAACGCAACAACGTCTTTGCTTAAAAAAATAACACAACTTAAACTTAATATACTCGACTGAAATTCGACGAGAAGATTCTACTGTTAAAATGGTTCAATGCGTATTTGCCGATCACAGTTTTAATACATAACAATCCGCACAAACGACCCATGCGCATTGCGCTCAATTGTTAGTTTTTAAAAAATGAACTACTTTTCTCTTTTTTTTTTTTTTCATTTTTAAAATGAATTTCTAAGCATCAATAAAATTATATATAATTGTATGTTGTTGGAACGAACTATTTAACGTAGAGTGTATGTTACTAACAAAAAGTGGTCTCGTGATCATGAGAAAACTTTTGAGCATAAAAAAAAGAAAAACACAACAAGGAGCAAAACATACCTTTGCCGAGATCAACAGAAAAACAAACACAAGAAACGACAAAAATCTAAACTAATGAGGCATTTACAAAAAGCTCAAAGCTAAAAAACCCAAAGCTTCTGCTTCAAAACGACGGTAAACACACAGCTTTTGATATGAAAATGATTGGCATTCTCGACCTTATCTGGAAAGTGAGTGTTTTTGGAGCTCAGGTATGGCCTATCAAACACGCAACGCGAGGATTAAATTAATCAACGATTGTTTGCCATCTTATACCTTCGTACAATCTGAGAAGGCATTCATACTATCATTTAAATTCATCCGATTTTCACGATTGTTCTTCACTAGTAGGACTATGAACAATATTTACACAAAACCTTGACAAGGATCCCTATAAATACGCTGATTTGTTTGAAATTTGTTCTCTGCCGGCATTTCCGTTAACATCCAGTCTCCGTAATACTTTTTCTCCGGGGCTCGAAATTCCGGGCATCCATTCAAGGGATACCTGTCATTTCTGAGGCATTCGGGACAGTCACAATCCACGTCTTCACGAACTAGCACCCTTTCCACGCCGCTTATAGCCTTAACAGGCGAGAATTCGCTGGCAGAATTACTTCCTGTGGCCGAGTCTAGTTCGGAAATTTCGCCACAGGTACATCTTGGTACATGATCTGCATCACAAAGGAATTCTGTCCTTCGCGTCCTTTTTCTGTGTGACGATCTCCTTCTATCGCCTTTTTTAGTTCTTTGATTTCGATAAGTTTTTGAAGGTTGGTTGCTGAAAGTTTCGTCTTCAAGAGGAGACGACGTCCCCGTTGATCTAAGCGTGGACTCTGACGTACTTGAGCTTCCGCTGGACGATGAAGGAATATTTTTGTGGTGTTGGCGCAATTTTGTGAAGACAATGAACAGAAGAACCGCAATAACCAACACAGCAAACACGAAGACCGCAAGAAATGTTACTGCAGCCGTTCCCAAAGTCCTTCTGCGAATCACCTCGACTGGTTCGTCATCGGCTACGAGGATGGGAAAAACAGAATTGAAGTCACTTAAAACGAAATTAAGTCAAATCAAATGAATAGCACACATATATTAATACAACTTAACTATACAAGCAACATCTCGATTTTAAGGGTTTGTCTCGTGTAACTGCAAGTCTATCTTCTATACTTTGTTCCATAGTCGGTTCATTTCACGATGAACTGAATAGTCTAAAGTGGTTGGGATGATGACGAGTTAAAATTTCTCGATCGTACGGTATGTGGTCGTTTCGCTCAATAATGTTTTGGTCTGTCTCAAATACGACTTAACTGTGCAACCAGCAGGAATTTTCACCATGAAAGAAAGTCTTTTTACAGGTTTAAAATGGAAATGTTTCTCTTTTACGTTAAACTGACCATAAAACGAAGCAACTGTGAATCGTAACTGAATTTCTAACATTTGGCAGGACTGCACAAAGCATTTGAATAACACAGCACACCCCACTTACTTTCCGTGCTGTAAGAAGCGGTAAATCCTCTTCGTGTGCCGTTGGTCCATCTCCCATTGTGTTTGTAAAATAAGTACATGCTGTTCCCAGTTGAGACTATTTCCTCTTTGAATGAATCATCATTTATAATGACCAGTTGTGGCGCACTGCGATCTTTTCCGTCACGAATTATGATGGAATCTCCATTCATTTTTAAGGCATCAAACCATAGACGCACCCTTTTCCCTTCTGCTAAGGTTATAACCCACGTACAGCTAGGATTTCCAGGGCGGGTGAACAACTGCGGTGATGATGTTATCATTCCTTGAGGTTCGGTTAGCCGGCATCCACATGAACAAGAGGTTCCCGACTCTGTTTATAAAAGTAATTTTTTAAAGCACTGAGTTCCCAAGTTCGAAGAACAAGCATGCAAGAATTTTAGTAATGGCTCACTTTGCTCCGGATTTGTTGTAGGGAACGACTCGTATTCGCTTTGAGAGCGAGTACCTTTAAGCGGGAAACAACATAGTTCGAGTTTGGCAGGAAAAAGAAATAGAGGGGCAAACGAGTTGCGCTAAGGCGGGAGAATTTCATTGAATGCATCCTATAAAGTGCTATTTAATCGAAATTACCTACTGTTTACGATGACGAGAGTAAAATAATATTACAGCCACAGTAACACTGTTCCATAACATCAAAAGCTACTGTAACATACACTGGTACACATTGCTGAAGGCAGCGCGGAAGCAAAATTAATAAGAAAGAGGGCCTTTCTCGTCATGAACACATAGTTAAGAAAAGCGAAGGATTTCAACCCAAGAACACCAGCATATGCTGATTTTGATGTTAAGGAAGAGGGTTATCTTGAAGAGTTTTTTAGCTGCACTATGTGTTGATAGGCTGAGTTCAACTCCAAAGTATGCCTCTCCACAACACTGCTAAATAGACAGGTCTCGGTAGTACGCAAAGTAACCTTGATTGCTCAAATTTGTTGTTGTTCTCGGCACAAACTGCGCGTGCTGTCCTTCAACCCCGTGGCAATTTGCACTCTCTGCGCATTTGTATACAAAGATGCGATACTTAGTCCTAGCGTCAGTTCGTGCACGAACATTAAAATATGTGCTGTTGTACGCGAGGTATTCTACACAGTGGCCTTTTTTTGAGGCTGAGACAAGTGGCAAGCACAGGTGCATTATCGGCCTGACATCATTTATGGAAACGGAACGACATATATATCTATATCTATATATTAATTTTGTAGTAATAATAACGGAAAACCCTGTCCACAGCTTATACATATATTTCCACTTCAGATGAAAAAAAATGGCTAAAAGCAGACACAAGGTGTCCAATTTCAGCCGTTTGCCGTTTCTATAAAAGTTATGCTTAACTTTATCATTTCCATACCTGGACATGGATTAAGCGCGCAAGACCTGGATATGAGAGCACTTCCATCGCATGTCGATTCCTTTTCCTTGGATGTGCTGACACTCAGACAGTATCGTGAGCGGTGCTGCTTCCCCTGCCCACAAGAGCTAGAACACAAGCCCCAAGAGGACCACGTACTCCACCCCTCATAATATGCTTTGCCTATCAGAACACAAAAAAAGAGACATTGACATGCGCAGTGAAGGATCTGTGTCGTCTCTAAAAAAGTCAAGAGGAACAAAGCAAAGAAACGGTTTAAGCATCCAATTTTTAATTTTATCAATCAAAGTCCTTTTCAGTCCCCGTTGATCTTAGCCATCTTCAGGTTTTCTCCCATATTTTTAGTTTATTATCACCATTTTATGTTTTAGTATTCAAGGCTAAAAAGATGAGTCCACAATCTCATATCTGGCCCCTTCAACTTACAAATATTTCTATTGCTATTCGAGCTTGGCAGTTTTTAACAAAGTCGATGATGTCTTTTATTTTTGCAATTGGTAACTCAAATTTTTCCTCGGATTGAAATGAAAACTTGATTTCTGGTGCTATTTCCGATCGGATAGTTCAACTCATCACAACCGACTTTGCGTGAGATCATTTTGAATTGATTCTGGCTAAAGTGCTTGAAAAGTGTCTTCGAGAGGCTTCTCCTCCAGTTTCCTGATTCCTGTTTACGAACATGTGCCAAAATCTACTGACGTACTTGTTTTCACACAAAGAAAGAGAGTATTGATCTGTTAGAAGCAAACTGAGTGACCTCGTGGTTAACCACACCAAACATCACAAGCTCTCTAAAAGCAAGTAATATCTGTCATTTATCATTCGGCGCCGGAAAGTCTCATTTGAAGTATACTTGCCAAGTTTCCGTCTTCCGTTTGTGTCTATTCAGCTTTTCTAAGACCAATATTCTCGTCACATCTCCTTCTTTTGATTTAAGTGAGTCTATACACCCAAATTGTGCTTATGAACAGTAAAACCAGCTTGCACACAAGTCTCTAGCACACAAATCGATTAACTGGAATATAGGAAGGCAACTAAAAATATCACGTCTCTTAAAAATAATACAAAAATAAACAAATCGACCAACTTATGTCCAAATGGGAACTCAACTTACTACAGTTCGGGCTTTTCAACAAACAACTCTTCCATTAACTAAGTTTAGTTGATGAATAGCTAATCACAGGTTTAAGGTCGTTTTATTGTTTCATGCAATACAGTTTATACATTAACTATATTTATTATTATTGCTCAAAACATTACACAATATAACACAACTCAGAAAGCCTCAGAAGATACCGAAGCAAATATAACGTCATCGTAGTTCAAACTTTCTTCAAGGAACTCCAAACAAAAAAACATAACACCTAGAAAGTAATTCTGCTTTTACCAACCGGAGCTCTTCAATAAATTTGACACAGATTGTTAAAAGAAAAACTAATCAGCATTTTCTCTCTAATAATGAATAAATTTGGCGTAATTGAGCGAAAGCAAGACATCGAAGCGGGAAATGGGTAATTATTTATTTTTCGTCATCGTTGTGACGAAAATGCGAAGCAGTCAAAAGAAGGGATGGTTTCGCGATGTAAGCATTGATTTTAGCGTAGCTTGAGGGCTTATAATTGCTTTGTAGACCTGACAAGTGTCCAAACATTTCTAAGCTGCTTCCCTCCATATTTTGTAAGGCACCGCTTGCAAGCCACGAAGACGGATTAAAAGTTAACCTTATTTTCTCTTTCCTGGGCCCTGTTTCTCCTAAACTGATTAAATCTTAGATTTAGGAAACTTGTAATCGCCTATACAACACACAGACAATATTAATCATAGCAAAATCTTGCGTTTAACTAAAAGCTTTTTACCTATTAGGAAAAAACCACTCTACACTAGACATTATTATGGCCTATTAGCAAAGTGCTAATTTATCAAACATTTTTAATTCATTATATTTTGCTCTAAGGGCCAAAAAAAAAAAAGAAAGAATGACGAAGGGGAATGTTGAGCGGAAATTTAGAAAGGCCTTAACTCTTATTTCTAGCACAAAACTTCTTACGGAATAGCAAAAAAAGCTTAAAATTTGTCGTCATTCATCACCGATTTGACAACAAACTGTGTAGCTAACGAAAACAAAGCAAAATATTGGCACCTGATAAAGGCGCCGTGTTGTCTGATCTCGAGTATTCTTAATGAGTTTTAAAATAGCTTCGACAAATTCTTTTTTCCAGAACCCTCTTTGCTACGTAAGAGGATTGAGGGCTTCTTACAAACCCCTTTGGTCAAATATGTATTACATAACAAGACCACAAGCTCGTGAATTTTATCTCCAATCGCACCAAACGAAGAACATATCGAGACCCTATAAATAACTCGAACAAGTGGTAAACACGTGCCTTCGTATGTAGATAGCGTGACCAGATTCGTGACAACAAGAATCACAACCTCTTGTTACTCTAAATTCACGAAAGCCTGAATCAAGAGACATTTCTTCTACAGATTTTAAACGCTTAGGCAACCTTAAAATTAAAAACTTAGCGACGCTTAGCAATTAAAAACATTGGTTAATCAAGGAACACTATCTTAGAAAAAAAAACACTCCTAACGACCTTAATGTTGCAATGATACTGGATTACCGCAGAAAAGGCGAACCTCAAAAATACATTCACGTCTTATATTCCATTTCCTAAATTAACGATGATGTCTTCCCTTAATTGGTACATTTTACATGACCCTCCGCGATACTGAATTCTCAATTTGTCAAAGTTTGTCCCTCCTAGACTCTCCAATACAGATTGGTTGTCAACCAAAGCCACTCCTATCAGATAATAATAAATAGGACTTTTAAAGGTATCTTTGACTGAAAACGCCAAATCTTAACAAAGAGGTTTTACCCCAATAAACTTGTTTACTGGGGCAAACAAAGTTAGTGACTGAAAAGTATACGCTTTCAGACTGACGGCAACGTTTTAAGAATTGAGTTATAAACGTCGCAAAGAATTTCAGTCAAATATATTTTGGCTGTACAGTCTCGGGAAAACTCGCCTGTAGGCCTCGAAAAATACCGCAAAAAGCCCTGATCTTTAACTTCAGAAGCTTTAACTGATGGTTTTTTTTAATTCGCGAGGAAAGCAGACAAAATCATAGACTTCATATCGTGGAAAAGTCGCAATAAATGTTACTCGTGAATTCGCTGATCATTCAGCATCCCTCATATGATAAATTTTTCAGGCTTAAACTTATCTAGATCGAGAGTAAAAGTTTGAACAACATTTATCCCTTCTTTAATTTTTGCTTAACAACCATCACTACTACTACATGTGCACGCTATGGAGCTCTGATACAGCTGCCGAGTAGTTTGCTAAATACATAGAGACACGGGTAAATTTCACACAGCAGCATGTGTTTGATAGTAAAATCAGTCATTCCTAATCCCGCACCGAAATGACCTCCAGGGCAGCTAATCTGATTATCAAAAACCCTACACGCCCAAGTTGACATAATATTCTATTTAATCTACACTCTTGGCATGAAATGAGACCAGCTCAAAACGAAAAGTTAGGCAAGTTGTTCACGTCTATAACTGTTTGTGCAGAATAGGCGACAAGCACAATTTCTCTCTCGCTTTGAAACTTCCATCACGATTAGCACAGATTATTATATTTCGAAGTGTTGAAAACAAAGTTCTATAATTAGTCACAGCAATCACGAGAAATTATCACAGCAGCTGGTATTAAAATTGTCAATATCTACTCAGAGTGGACTGAGTCCTTGATATAAAGCTTTCGTGATTTTAGCCTTGGAAACAAGAAATCCATAAAAGCTGAAACGTCTGCTTTCAATTCACAATTAATTTCAATGCACATTGCAAATGCTGTTATTAGAAGCTGTTTTTTTTTAGAACTGACAACTGAATGAATAATTTCCATTTTTCACTAATTTTAAAAATAGTTTACGTGTTTGGGCGAGTGTTTAATCACTTGCTTGACACAGTTCACTGGGATCTTCTCAGACTAAGACACTTAGGGTTTTATGGGCTGTTATATTAGCTTGCCAGTGCAACACGCTCAGGGCACGAACGACTTTTGAATATTACATTAGTTTGGATACATGTAAGTTACCATGATAACCATTTTAAGGCTGAAATTACCACATGTCTGGAGCTTACAAAGTCCTCAAACAATGGTGGGTCGTGTGAACTAAGCACGCTTCTCCAGAATATCTTAGTAACGTGAACACTGCATGTCTTTAACGCTAAGAACCCTGGGTGATCTTTTTTTTACAAATTTGGAGCATTTATTTCTGACGTCATTACAATTTTGGAAAAAATGAATAAAAAAAAATAAATTTCCCTTCTCGTTCCTAACGTACCCTCTCCCTTCCCCAATCCACATCAGTGACAAAGCCGAAGGAAAGGAACAAGAGAACTTTCTTGTAATTTATTACGAATACTGGTTCCTTTGTCAGACAAATTGAAGCGAAATTTCATATGCATTATCCTACCGATCCACGGCAAAATTAGAACTTTTTTCTTGTAAACAATACAATGAACGACGATAAAAACTAGAGCAACACGAAATTGAAGCGATATACAAATAACCTTGGAGCATCCAATTATAGGCCATTTTTTTCTAAACAGATAACGTACTAAAAACGGGAAATTACAAGTCATCCGCTACAACACAATAGCACTTCAAACCGGCTGGCCTTTTCCTAAGTGGATTAAATTTCACAAAAGAAAACGGGAAATCATAAAAAAAATGTGTCGCTCTTGGACTGAAATAAACACTTCAGAGAGAACACATAGCCTCCATTCTTAAAAAAACACTTTTAAAATTATAACTGCGGTTACTCAGTTTTTTAAACTCTATTTTGATTTGATTGTTTAGCTTGTCACGTTTTAAAGTGGAGCAAAGATCGGCTGATTTTAATCTCAACATTCTTGGCAAGATTACCCCTTAGAAATCTGGTTGAGACCTTAGTAAAGACAACAACACAACTCACGCCAAGTCGTACCCACCCGAATTTCCTGTTTACAAATAAAGAAAAAGAAAAAGAAAATATGGCTGACTTTCAGCGAACCTTGATGCGTTAGAACTCTGTCGTTACTTTGCAAATGTATATTCAGTTCGAATGTCGATGTAAGCACGAGCGCATAACTGCTGGACTGAAATCAAATGTATGCCCTTCCCTTGAGTTGAATCGATCCCAAAAACGCATGCAGCCACTTGGTACTTTTAAAATTCTAGCTGCGTTTTGCCTTCATCCGGCTTTACCAAAGGTCAACAAAAAAGACAACAGGAAAATTGAAGTCCAAGCTATTCAAGAGTTGTATTTCTAATTTTCCGGAGCCGGAATTACCTCTAACTCTGCCAAACACAACGTGTGCAGTCTGCCGTACACTTGAAAGAGTTTGCCTTCCGACCACGTTGTTTGTACACTGATGATAGACTAGCTGTTGTTTTAAGTCATTGCGGGAGGCATAATTGAATGTTGAGTCAATATTTAGCCTGTCTATTGTTTGAAACTTTTGCTGTGTTTTATTTTGGCCAAAAGTAACCGTGGGCACTTGATTCACCAAGCCGACCTGGTTGATTTGTCTTTTGTGAAGCACAACAAAACGCGACCTCAATATACAGCATTCATACTTGTCAAGGGATTCCCTACGTCACTTAAAAGCTATTCTTTTCCATGGAAATGAATCGAACTAATTATCAGCTGACTTCTTACTGAGCTGAATTTCCATTATGAAGCGAAAATATTAGCAGCTTTATAGAATCGTGTCACACAATGGTGCTAATTGGAGCAATACCTCGTCTACGCCTCTGATAAAAACCTCTTCCTTCCCGTGTAATTTTCACGTCATTTGTTTGTCATTAACGCTGAAAATCGAGCTCTCACTAGGTGAACTGAACTGAAATATTAGACGCAACTTACGTTATGAATAACATCCACAAAACTTAAGCAACAATTTACTCTTGAAACACACAAAAATCCAAAAATAAAAACATTTCTAAAATGTTTTTAGAGTGAAACCTAAATACTTCACATTTCGTAGGTTCGTATCGCAAAAAGTGTCTGAAGCAGTAACATGTTTGTAATGAACTTCTCACGCCTTCCAATTTTTCCCTGCAACTGTTTTCGACGACTAAAACCATACTAAGTGACAGCAAATGAAAATTCAAAGCGCTTACTAAAGAATACAGAGAGTGCACTTAAAGAAAAACAAATTTAACAGCAAAAACAAACCATTAGCAAGGCTGTATTTACGAGCAGAAAAATCAGTGTTTTACAACATTCCATGTAATTACCAAGGTCAGAGGTTCCCGTTCAATAATTATAGTTTATCTCAGATAAAATCACCGCTCTACTTACCTGATGGCAGACAGAGAGATGCAACAGCCACAGTACTCTTCGTGAGCCTTGACGTTGTAGAGTAATGAAAGCAGTATTCTTCCACGTAATCTTTGAACAGTGAGCACAAGAAAAATGTCACATCGTGCCCTTGCTGCACGGCTTTTCGCACAATGGGTTTATTGGAATCTTTCTTGGTGAGGACTATAGCATCTTGAATTCGTGCATACGAGCAGCTCGGTTGAGTGAATGATATTGCCAGAGAGTTTGTGCATGGAAAAATCGTCGAGACAGGAGAAAAGAGAGTTTGTTTACCCCAATTGACGTAGACCGCTGCACTTTTTGCCAGGGTAACATTAGCGTAGCCAGTGCGATACTCGAAGAAGTACACTCCTTGCGCGTCGAAGAAATTGCAGGCAAAACCCATTCGAATTTGGGGCATTTTAGGAATTCTTTGCTTGCCACTGGACAGTTTACGAATGTTTTTTCGAGTTACAAACATCGACTTGCTGCCACCTTGGACGTAATAAAGATTGAGTTCATCGCGGTATGCCTTAGGCAAACATTTGCGATCATGTCGAATTTTGATCGATTTTAACCGGGTTAAGACCGTGTGGTTCGTCGGTGAATCGATGATGATTCTTCCCCATTGGAGCTTCAGTTTCTGTGAGATAACCCCTCCATATTCACTGTCCGAAATGCGATACTTAAAGCTATATATATCTGGGTGGTCGAAGATTTCACATGGTAAAATGACAGAAATTTCTCGGCGATCTAGCGGTACAGTTGTTTTAAAAAGTTTTCTGTCAGTAGCGTTTTCGTGGACGAAGACGTAGAAAGTTCGGTTACCAAAAAATCCAGTAAAATTGTTGGGAAATTGGAATGACAAAGTAACATTGCCGCCAAGAACTTCCAATGAGGTTGGGTGTAAATTTACGGCAAGACCTTTGAGTGGTCGTTTTCCAAAATTACCTGAAAGAAGAAAAAAATTATCAGTTATTTTTTGAATACAAGTTTACGTTTACGCGTAACAGTTCCAATATGGCATGTCTGTTATGTATTTACGCTGCGGTCGGAGAAAGATAATTTACATTAACTAGAATTTAAACGCTCTTTTGTCAACTATTACTAAATTGTGATTTGGATCCGTCCAACGGCCTTTAACTTAGGATGTCAACGCTCCGAATAGAAAGAACACGCCATGGAGGGAAAAAGTACTCTAGTCTACCTCATTTGAGGTTCAAGATATGCGCTAACCAGCGATATGTCGCCTGAAGTATTATGCGCAAGAAGATAAATTTGCACCAGCGAGTAGAACTGTTGAAAGCAGATATGCTTACCATCGGCTGTCGATGAAAGGACGCCGGAGGCTATTAGCAGACCACATAGACACACCAAACATGTTTCCATCTCTCTTTTCTCTTCATGGAATGTCTGTTGTCCTGAAATTGACAAGAATGGAATGAGGCGAGAGCGTTCGGACCGCACTTATATCTTCAGGTGATATGTGCCCGCCAGCGATCCGAAGGCAATGTTTCGCTTAAACCATTTAAGACATATAATTAATTGTCCACAATTATATTGTTACATTGTGCTGTAATATTCAATTAACGTTTGGTCCTGTTGTGTCCATTGAAAGTCAAACAATGACAAACTACTGGGCCAATAAGGGACTGCTAATTTGTTCCTTGGAGAATCCAGCGCTCAGCAGATGTACAGGAACTGTGACACACGAAAGCTAAAACGTATAAGACGACATCTCGCCGTATTAAGTGTCTCGGAATACATCACGCTGTCCCCTGACACCCGGGGAGGTCATGAAACAAACCTTCAATGGGTTTTTTAGCTGCGATTTACCTCCCGTCGACATAATCATGTTTACTTAACAGATTTAACCTACTTCGTCTGAACTCTGCGAACAAATTAGTGGCCAGTGATATGTTAATGAACAAAACGAGAAAAAAAATACCACGATGTCAATTGCATTGATATCGTCTCACAGCAACTAAACTACCTCCTTGTTGGACGTTTACATACATTAAGACCGATATCATTCTTCCAATCCATATGCAAATTTTGCGACTTTCACAAGTCGTTTTTCACACATCTGGCACCGTTGGGTGAAAATTACATGTGCAAGTGACAACAACCTGACAAGCAGGGAAAACATTTGAAGGCCCAATATTGCTTAGGACATGTTTACTGCCGACCCGAATAAATTGAATTCTACAACACGCATTGGCCATCGATCGTTCAGCGCTGACAAATTTCCTAATTGAATATTCTGTTTTTACAGTAATTACGCCGTGACAATACATTTCCCTCCCTGAATACGCCCCTATGTTTGGTTTTCCAATAAGACACGTGGAGAGTTGTATTGAATATGTCAATCTCAATATTTGATGGTTGGCTGCGAGCCGTGACAATCGACGTCAACAAAATCATTACAGTTTTGTCTCAACAAATGGAAGGCTTCCAAAGACATCCGTGAAAATTATCAATAAATATCTCCTCCCTCTTCTTACAGTTTATGAATATAACACAAACCAAAGCTTAATTTTGCACTTACATACTCCTATCATCGGCTTAGGTGATTTCTTGATTAAAATGCGTCTTTGCCTCCACTTAAAATCGTTGCAATAATTAAAATGTTTGAATGGATTACGAAAATTTTGGTGGGTAAATTTTATGCAAACTACATGGTCGCTTCGTACAGCGAGTGGGATAAACAACTTTTGAGGCGGAGCTGAAGATTCTTCCTTCATTCACTCATTTGCCAAAACACAACGCATCGTCACGGCTAGGAAAAGTATAAATAAGATCAGGTTGCCAATCAGTGGCGGAGGTAGGTCACGGAGGTTTGCGGGCCAATTTATTATTCGCGATAGCAACAAAATTACGGTATGCATGACAATGTTGTAGACTCTTCCGTGCTTCAAATAAGAATTTTTCCTACACTATCGATCGATGATCAAAATCAGAAAATTTTGTATCATTCCAGACTGAAATTTGACGAATAGCAAATAGTTCAACGGCTTAGCGTCAAGCGAATTTGAACAGCTTCGCTAAAACACGCAAGCGGCCCTTGAAGATAACAGCGACTTGTGCATGTCGCAATGCAACGTCGTAAATTTCCCAGCTTAACGACTATGCTCCTACGCCTGGCCCGGCCTGGCATTTTCTCTACTGTGCATGCAAATTGATTGTAAACATTAGAATATTCAACGCCATCCTACCTCACCAAACGCAGCAAGACTTCGCAGTAATCGCCTAATCCGCAAATGATTGTTGGTTGTGTTTACCCTGGCTGCTGTCTGTTCCCAGCTCGTTCCAGCGTCGCTCTTCTACACTCTACGCGGTCCTAGCTTTCGCTAAACCGATTTGGCGTTTCATGCTGTGAAAGGCACACCGAAAGAAAACGGTTTCAGTTTGTTGGCGGTTTGTGCACGAGAGAGGCCAACCGAACACTTAGTATCGTCATTACCTGTTCTGGCGTTTGTGTCTGCTACCGGAAACATACCGCACGCCACTGATCAATGGTGTATCTTTCATGGCTTATATCTTCCAGTAGATAAGAGGTGCACGTGGTCAACTTATCATTCACGTTGCTGATTTACATCAAAATATACCGTGTCTACTATTGACAACTGACGGTCGTGCTAAAGTGCATTTTGTTTGACAGTTCTATTGTATTTTGATGAGGTGGGCGGCGAAGTTTAAAATTTCGTCCAATAAAACAAAGGCGAGACTTGTTTTGATGGACAACATATCAACAGTGTTCCACCTTGGGGCGTTTATGAAAACAAGGCTAGAGATCTTCATTAAAAATTGTTTCAATATTTTTTCGCAAGTTCATATCTGACTTGGCAAATTTTGTTTAATTTTATTGTGACTGGCGATGAAAATTTGCAATTCTTACATTTGTCAATAATCTATCGCCCTCTTTCTTCTTTCGAAAGCCTGTTTCAATTAGTTTCCTGCCAACCTTGTTTACGTTTGCCTTTTATTTTCATAAAAATAATAATCGAGGCTTAAATTTCTTAAAATACATAAATATATTTGGAAGATGTTGATCTGGTGTTCAAATTAATAAAAGCGAATTTAAACAGATCAGCAGTGAATCTGCAAATGTTTCTTTCGTACGTTAATTAAAGTAAATGAAAGTCGTTCGGTTGCAGACAAATGATTTTCCTTGATTTAAAATTACTAGTCTTTCTTTTGTTTTTAGATGGTTCTCTTTTTTAAAGAACAAGGGTTTTCAACCATATTTTAAGATTTATGCTATATTTCCTTGGGTAGAAAAATCGATTCTGAGATTTTTACAAACAGTAAACCCGAGTGATGTGATAGATGTGTAACGTTGAAGAGTAGCTCACATCCTAGCCCAGTGAGTTTTCCTGCCTCATTTTCACCGGTCAAATTTGTCAATTTATAAGACACTGAGATAAACGCAATTAGTACGTAAAGTGCCCCTGTGTCCATCAACTTCTTATTTTGCATACAAGAGAAACGAAGTCCAAGCAGGTAAAGCGCCTTTAAGTCTGTGTTGGGTTGTACATCACTGTTCTATTCAAGAACTTGCTTCCGAGCCACGCCGGCAAAGATGTCATAAATCGAAGCAGACTAATGTCGTTTTTGTCTCGTGCTTTTTTAAACCACCTGACGTGAAATGACATATGCCATGAATTTTTACAAAAGCACTCAGGGCTTTAATATTTAACATGGTCACCACAAACTGCGTATTATTGCCCAAATAGCAGAAAGGTACCCAAGGTCGACACTGCAAAACCCGTGATAAAGAACTAAATTAGTCACCAGTGGGTTCACCTTGCCGTCACAAAGTGTAAATAAAGCTGTGCAGTTGAATAAATTGTTTTTGGCGTAGTTTGTCAGGTGTTTTGTCAATTGGGCCCTCGCTGGCGCGAGAAAGTAAATATGGTTGGTCTTAACGGCGCGTTACGCATTAGCGAGAGATCGAGGTTATGTTCGTATTGCCTAAAATAATCAACCAAGAAGAGAAAATGCTTTGCGAAAACAAGCCTGTGATATTTGCCTTGCGTTTCTGCGAAGAGCAAATATGTCTGTAAACAGTCTAAGACACGCAAGATAAATATTGCGTTGGTGACAGGGAAATCAAACCAAGATGCTGATTTTACCTGGATGTCACTGTAATCATCTGACGCCACTGATAACCGCCTGGACTACCGTAGAGCTCGTCTTGAACACGAAAACTCAATAATGGAGCGAGTGGCGTATTCTAGGCCCGTACTTCGAATAAATTATGTCCTAGGATTATTTTCAATAGGACAAACAAAACACTAGCTACACACGATACTAAATAAATATTTTTGGACGAAAGAAAGTACATTTTGGATTGCAGATTTCACTGTCTTATCCAAAAAACGAAGCTTAATCATAGGGGATCACGACCATTAACTCTGGGAAAAAAAAATAAAAAACACTGGCCATGCCAACGATAATCCGAAAAGATCTTGTTGTTATTTTAATACTGCTGGATGCAGAGCGGGAATTATCTAAGCAGTTTCAATTCCATTTCCGGATTATTTTGTCCAATGTACGGCTTAGAGAAAAGTAAAAAAAAAAATTAACATTCACCGATTATGTTGCTCTCTCTTTGGAACGATTAATGCCTAGGAAACGAAAACATCATTCACTGACGGATATTTCAAAATTTTAACCAATTCTTACAATTTTCAGCGAAGCGAAAGGCTGCGTGATTACTTGAGAACTGGCGTGGTATCTAAAAAGGCTTAACAAAACCTTTTGTGTTGCCAGTAGCTTATCCCGTTTGAGCACTGGCCGCAACAGAAAATAGAAAGCATTTGTCAGGGTTCATTTTTAATTCGCATCACTCTTGGGAAACCTAACTCCTTTACCGCTTTATTCACTTCCAGGCTAATCTGTATTTGGCTGAAGCCGTGTAAAGTGTCACTGGATTATGTCAACTATGAAACGCCCACGAATTTATTTATCCCTTTTGGAGAAAAATACGTTGAGGGAAACTATTTTCGATAAACAACGACTGTGTTTTTTTCTTGTTTTTTCTTTTTCGTTTGGTGATTTTTGTTTATGGTATACAGTTGCCATGTAATCGGACTAACGTCTCCGTACATTTTGCATCCTCAAATATATGCTAAGAGAAAAAAAAAAAGAATGTTGCAGTTTTGCCGAAAATAATGTAAATATTCTTGGAATTATTGATCGCTGGAAATTTGACCTTGAATATAACCTCACAAGGAACATTTTGGTTACTTTTTGAAACATCCTTTTTTCAGAAACACTTGTTTTAATATCAGCTGCGAAGCTGATATTAAAAGTCTTTCTTAGGTCAACTTGAAACCATGTAATAGTTTTTGTTACCACTTAAGACTGTTCAGATTTTCTCCAAATGACAAAATCAGTCTCGGAGGGACAACTTTTATTTTTCAATTTATTTAGCACCTAGATAAAACCTTCACCAAGTGCTGATCTTGTCTAGACATCTTGTAAACGGTTATATCATTCGCAGTATAATGGCGAAATAAAACACATTCATGTTGCTGTTTAATGTAACACTCATGACACTAACTTCGAAAATAGGATTTATCAGCAATGCTCTTGGCCTGATTGTCATAACTCGCTGCTAGGTGAGCAGAGCAAATTTTATCACGTCCCTTACTTGAAAACTTGAGCTTAAACATGCAATGTTTGTTTCAAACTTACACTTGTATGGACAGATCTGTTGAGAAATTGATAAACCAATAAAACAAGGAATCAAACAAATTTAATAACACAGCTTTGGGATATCGTCGTTTCCAGGTCTTTCTCTACAAAAAAAGTCCACAATTGCAAAACGATAATTCGTTGCCTGCCGACGATAATAAAAGTTGTGGACGTCACAATCTATTCTTGTGAAAAAGGTATTTCTGGAAACCCACCCACGGGTAAGGATTTAGTTTCCACTCTTCCTTTTGATTTGTTTTGTTTGTTTGTTTGTTTATCTTCGTGAAGTAAAAGATTTCACTTTTAAATTTGAGTAATTTAAAAGGGCCGGTGAAAGGATGATAACTGATGGTTATTGAGATGCAATTAATATCAAAAAAATTGACAGGCAGTTAGACAATTTGTTTAGCCGTTCATTCAGAGTCAACAATTTTTCATTGTGAGCATGAATGTTTAGCTATGTGCCCTGTTTCACCCATTTTGAAAACTCAGTCCCACAAACAAACATACCAAAAAACGAAAACAAATGACAAATGCCGAAAAAAAAAGACCAGCTTAAAAGTAAGTTGTATTTAAAATTAAATAACTTCAAATATTTATGGTATCCTGAGAAGTGCTTAAAAACACAATGGAGGTGTCTTTTTTTGAAGGTGATTAGGGTTCATCTCAAGAACATTTGAAATCATAGATCTGAAAATGACCTGCTGGCTGACAGCTGGAGTACAAAATTTTCAGCCAATTTTTTTAGGCGTTCGTGTAATTCCTTAATCACTGAAAGACTCAGGAAAGTTAACAGTTCTCTGTTGTATGGTTTTACCAACCAGAAAGCGAATAGCAAAGCTATGAAACTTCAACCCAAATTTTATTCAAACTGGACGGGGGCATGACGAAGGGCGCCTATATTAACCATTCCACTCCTAGTTCTCAGCAATGTCTGCCAAACATATAATATGATCTTGTCTCTGAGAAATTGATGATTACTCAAACATTATCCTTTCCTTAGCATTTCTTTTTCTCCTCATAACCTTTTTGCCAGAAGCAGTAATGCCAGGGAACATTGCAAGGAGAAATTCTCAGTCGCCCACCCTCAGTATTTGGAGCATCGGTTAACATTTAAGACGCTTTCAAAGGAAGCAGAATTGAGGCACACAATTCTACATATGTTTAAACTATAACCTCGTGATTTTTCTCACGAATTTAGTAAAAAATACTTTCATTAGTTATCTTAAGTCTAGATATTCTGCGCTTGTGCAACGGAATCATACAAACAATAAAGGCTTTGAGAGCTAGATTACGAATGTTACGTATGAACATGACCAGAATGCTCCTTGATTATGTAAGAGGGTCTTGGAAGACTTTTAATCTTCTATATTTTCGATAACTGAGATTCCAAGCTAGTTTTGAAACTATGGAATGAATGTCCTTTGTTCTCAGAGGGGAGAATGCTTGTTTGGGGTATCTTCGGATCGAGATCACGAGAAACTGCGATGGAAACAGATAGTGTATTCTGACTTTGAGAATTATTTCCCTAGATAAAAGGCTGGAATGAAGAGATGATGAGAAAACGAAAAGAAAATAAAGCACCAGATATCAATTTACGAATGGTAAGTTACGTATTCAAAGAGAAGCTTTAAAGGTAATCAGAAAACGAATGACATACCAAGCGAAGTGAAGTTGATCTGCTTCGTTAAATTTCATCGGTGGAATGTTCGCGCTCTGTGCTGCGTTGAATCGACTGAATTGATTTTTCATCTGATATTTATGAAGGATATGCCAAGTTCTTTGCAGGTAAGTGGAGTTTTAGAGCCGGAAAAACTTCCGTCCCTTTAGTGACAAAGATCCATAAGATGACGTTTTAATTCGTGCAGTAATCCAGGGAAAGGCGATAATACCAAGGAATTTTCAGAGTCAGAGTTCACAGCTGCAGTTCAGGCTAAAATATAATCTCTTAAAATTGTTTTCTCTGGTACCCTTGTGATGTAAGATTTTAACTCAGAAATTGCAGCCAAACCTCATTATCCATGAACTGATGCAATTATTTTTTCACAATAATTCTTCCCTCTTGCTGCTATTTTTAGACGAGTGAAATTAATATACATTCAAGGTGTGGCTATAGCAGTCCCAGGGTGTTTTTATGCGACTACCGTCTGAGTCAAGAAAAGGTGATAATTTTCCATTGTAGTTCAGTAAAATAACCTGATTTCCTCCCGAGACCAGTCGGATGCTGGGCTATGAACCCCTGCTGAAAGTTTGACGAGCAAGCACTCATTATCGAAATGGATACTTACATTTTTGCACTTTTCTCAAATATTAAGAAAACTTAACAGCCTTCTTTTTTTTGGTTAGTTTGTTCTTTATCTTGGTAGTTTTTCCAGTCAGTTTCGAGGGGATAAGGGTGGGTGAGTATTGTGTGTGAGTGAGTGAGACAGCGAGTAAGAGACCTAGGTAACTGAGTGAGTGAATGAGTCAGTTGGTCGGTTAGTTTTTCATATTTCGAAGCCTCTTTTCTTACAATAAACATGCAATCGTATAAAAAAGAAAAAAAGAGCAAACCATACAACTTGTTTCAATGATTGAAAAAAATCCGAAATCATAACTAGCTTAGGCTACGTATGACAAGGCTACGTATGACAAGATCAAAAACAAGAAGTATGCCTTTTACCACTCAGTCTCGAAAAGGTACTCCCTTTTTAAAATATTTTGTTATGTCCATTTTCATTGGAAAACGTAGCATCCACAATAAGACTTCTCCCCAGCGTAGAAGATAGAATATTCCCAACTTTTAGTCGAAAAACGCTCAAATGATGGTGGCATTTATCGGTGCAACAAAACTGAAAAGATGAATTGCGCCGATCTCCGTAACAAATTAATCAAAAAGACAAACAGAGCTTACTTGTTATGTGACAAATAACCGCGTGTATCACCGACCTACCTCAGTATCAGCCTTGGGTTGGTTGATGATCCGGATGTTTCTTCAGTCAGTTTCCCGAACCTATCTGCGCAACAGGTCGAGAGTATCTGAAATTCAAAATAGAATCAAAATACTTTAGTCAGCTCTCCATATCCATTAGAGTCAATTAAGTGATAAAAGCTACTCAACGGATA